GGTGTCTTACAGCTCTTACAATATGAGGCTTCCCAGACACATAGCCTCGCTCGCTCGTGCACTATGTGGCCATACCATGCTGCTGGTGACACATACAGACTCTGCGGTGCACGTTGGCAGCATGACCTGCTGTGAACTACGAAGAAGGATCCTTCCTCACCCAGAGGCAGGCTTTCTCTTGCCTGCAGCAGGAGGCAGCTGCCGGCCGGATGGCCTTTGATTTCTTCTTCTTTACCTTTCTCTGGCCTCTCCAGCTTCAGCCGCGGCAGCTCCTGTCCACAGCCAGTAAGTGCCCCGCCTGTCCCTTTCCACCCATGCCGCTAGGAGAATGAGGCCAAAGGCAACCCACACAAACCTGAGCCAGCAGCCATCAACAGCATCCCCAGAGAGGAACCGACAACTGAGTCCTCAGTGCTGCCTCTGGGAGAGGGAAAGAACAAGCAACTGTTACCCACAGTGATGACTGTAGCTCTTGTCAGGCAGGAACCCCTCCTTCTGCAGGAGCTGCTGGAGATGGGTTGGGGGCAGTCTGTGGCTACGGCTCAGCAGCAAGCGACCGCGGTGAAAAGCTCAACTGCGCATGCGCAGCAATTTAGCTGCAGTACCGGCTTTTGATCACCGGGCGGCAGCAGCGTGCGCGCTGTAACGCTGAAATGCGCATGCGCATGCCTCAGCTGCAGTACTGGTATTTGCTCACCAGGTGGTAGCAGAGAGCGGGTTGGGGGCAGTCTGTGGCTACGGCTCAGCAGCAAGCGACCGCGGTGAAAAGCTCAACTGCGCATGCGCAGCAATTTAGCTGCAGTACCGGCTTTTGATCACCGGGCGGCAGCAGCGTGCGCGCTGTAACGCTGAAATGCGCATGCGCATGCCTCAGCTGCAGTACTGGTATTTGCTCACCAGGTGGTAGCAGAGAGCGCAGCATAATGGTCAAACGCGCATGCGCAGCTCCTGAGTTGCAGTAACGACTTTTGATCACCGGAAGGCAGCAGCGAGCGCTGTGTAACACCCTAGTGCGCATGCGCAGCGACCATCCTGCAGTACCGGCTTTTGATCACCCGGCGGCAGCAGCGAGGGCGGCGTAACGCCCAACTGCGCATGCGCAGCACTTGAACTGCAGTACCGTATTTTGATCACCGGCTGGCAGCATCGAGCGCGTTGTAACACCCCACTGCGCATGCGCATCGTCCCTCCTGCAGTACCGGCGTTTGATCGCCGGGCGGCAGCAGAGAGTGCGGCATAATGCTCAAATGCGCATGCGCAGCGCTTCAGCTGCAGTACCGGCTTTTGATCATCGGGCAGCAGCAGCGAGCACGGTGTAACGCTCCAATGCGCATGCGTGGAGCTTCAGCTGCAGTACTGCATTTTGGTCAAGGGGTGGTAGCATCGAGCGCGGTGTAACACCCCTCCACCGCGACCGTACTGCAGTACCGGCTTTTGATCGCCGGGCGGCAGCAGCGACCGCGTTGTAACACCCCACCGCACATGCGCAGCGCCTCTCCTGCAGTACCGCAGTTTGGCCGCCCGGCGGCAGCAGCGAGCGCGGCGTAACGCTCCAATGCGCATGCGCGGTGCTTCCGCTGCAGTACCGCATTTTGATCACCGGGTGGAAGCATCGAGCGCGCTGTAACACCCCTCCACCCATGCGCTGCGCCCGTACTGCAGTACCGGCTTTTGATCGCCGGGCGGCAGCAGCGAGGGCGGTGCAGCTCTCAAATGCGCATGCGCAGCGCTTCAGCTGCAATACCGACGTTTGATCGCCGGGCGGCAGCAGCGAGTGCGGCGTAATGCTCTAATGCACATGCACGGAGCTTGAGCTGCAGTACCGGATTTTGATCAGCGGTCGGCAGCAGCGAGCGCGGTGTAACACCCCTCCACCCATGCGCTGCGACCGTACTGCAGTACCGACTTTTGATCGCCGGGCGGCAGCAGCGAGGGCGGCGCAACGCTCAACTGCGCATGCGCTGTGCTGGAGCGGCAGTACCGCATTTCGGTCGCTGGGCGGCAGCAGCGAGGGCAGGGGCACGCGTTCTCGGGGCGCGGCCGCACGGCTTGTCGGGGACCAGGCGCAGCGGGAAGCCAGCAGAAAATCACACGAAACCGGCAACAACACTACACCTCATGCCGCGCCGCGGGGGCCGCGGCGGTAGCAAGGACTACGCTGCGCCGCGCTCGCCCGAGAGCCAAGCGGTTGCCCGGCAGCCACGTCCGCCAAGTTCTCCCCCCGCCGACGCACCCGGAAGCCCCGCCCAGCCCCCAGCGCAGCCCCGCGTTCCCCAGCGTGGCTCCGGACGGCCACTGCCGCCCGGCTCCGAGGCGGCGCGACCCTCCTGCCGGCCTCGCCGCCCCCCTCGCTCAGCGACCGCTCCGCTCCTCCCTTGGCTCACACCGGCCCCTCCACGGCCACCCGGGGCACGGCAGCCCCACCACCAGCCCCACAGCCTGCAGCTACTCTGGCAACACACCCCCTTTAAAGGAGGAAGCCGTCCCCACCAGCCTCACTGCCCGCCCCTGGGGCTCCTCCGGCCCCAGCCCACACCGGAGCCCAGCAGGAACAGGGGGCCATCGCCCGAACCCCACAGTGCGCCAACTCCTCCCCTGGGCTCCATCACAGCTCCTAGCCCCGTGCAAAGGAAGTGCAAACGCAGCCGCGCGGGCAAAGGAGACGGGGAATGTTTATTCAGTCACGCACGTAACAAGTCCCGGGAGCAAGTCTGCTCCAGAGCTTGGAGCCTCTGACACTCCCCCTGCCCCTGGGACACCTCAGCAGTCGTTCCCGGAGTCATGCTCATCGGTCCGGCGGGGAACAGACAGGCGGTCAGTTAGCTCCTGGAGCGATGGGCTGCAGGGCAGAGGCGGAGGCCACTAAAAATGAGGAACAGGGCGCAGGATACTAGAAGAGAGAAGTGGCAGCCAGCTGGACAGCAGCAGTGTAGCAAGAAAGCATGAGGCAGGGAACGGGACAGTGAGAGAAAGATGGGGACAAGGAGCCCAACAGAGATGAAGAAGGAACAGGGAGAGAGGAAGAGAGGCAGCAGAAAGAGGGAGAAGGAGCAGGAAAGAGACCGATAAAGAAGGTCAGGGAGCAGGATGGAGGTGCAGAAAAAAATGGGGATGGGCAGCATGACAGAGAGGGAGGAAACAAGCATAGGGGCAGGGAGCCAGGACAGC